AGTCCATAATATCAAATATCTTGGAATCAAGTTTCAACCGATTTCATCACAAATATTACTCCTCAGTTTACATATTTGTATAACATTTCTAACCTTCAAACGTTGCTCTGCAGCTACCATACTAAAGTACGCACAGCACTGTTCAGGAGACACCATAGCTCTGATTTCTTCTTCGGTTGGTAGTCTGAATTCTGGCTTGATAACCCACCAGTTCGAATCCATGCCTGAAAAAATTAGTACATGTATTATATGGAACTGTTCATCTACAATGGCTCATACCTGTCCTTTTGAAGTCAGCACAGAGCTTCAATCTTTTCCTAATGCTGCTTTCGGAATGAGAGGGAAATGCTCTTTTGATATCGTCCATCTTTATTCTTCTAGGGTTATCCTTGCTCCTCCAGAATAAACGATATATAAAAACCTAAAAATATTGTTTCGTTATTTGTTTCACTACACAATGAAGTTTTATTGTGGTATTGATTTATTGATAATCATGAATAATGGATGATACTAGGGTGTTCCCAGAAGTTCGCGGCTCAACAAAAAAAATGTTTAATGTCTAAACAGGAATAAATCCCAATAACAAGACATATTAATAACATTAGCAAGCATGTTACAGTTTTATATCTGCCTATTTATATACACATATACACATACATATATACATACACATATACATGAATACAATACTAATTTATCAACTAGAAACACCTGAAGTGAGTAAACAAAAAACAAAATAAAGGAAGCATCTGACATAAGTCAGATGTAAAGCTAACAAGTAAAAACATAGTTCAGGTGTATTAAAAAAAAAAACATAATTCAGCAGTAATACAGTAGTAGTAATAAGCTCACACGGTAGCGTAACTTTCAATTTGGGCTCATGTATTTTGACTAGAGTGTAAAAGTCTCTTAAGATGGTTCTTAACTTGACCGATAGGTTCATAATAAATGTCGAGATTTTCACAGAGTTGATTGTAAAGTTTGCTCATTGCAACAACTGATGACTTGAATAATATGTTTGTTCTAGAATTTGGTAGATAAAAAGTCAGTTTATTTCTAGAATTAATTCGTGGAACATGAAAGTTGAAGTGGGAGAGTAGTTCGGGACAGTCAATCAGATTATTCACTTGTTTATAAATGAAAATTATAGAGTAGTAGGTTCTTCGGTTTTGAAGGGATAATAGATTAAATTTATTCAGTAGTATTCTGTTGTCGATGCCTTGTTCAGGGTAAACTCCTTCTAGCTTGTGAGTAATATATTTCATGAAGCCTCTTTGTATAGGCTCGATTTTGTTTATGTGGACATTGTATATGGATGACCATATAAGGGAGGCATATTCCAGCCGAGATTTGACGTATGCATTGAAAAGAGTTAAAAAACTGTCTCTGTTACGAAAGTTCTTACAGTTAC